GTGGAGAACATTTTAATTAATAGAGTTTCATGGATACTTAAAATTCAGTGACATGGACCGTCTCTTTTCTCACAACGTTATCACTTAACATCCCATCCCCATAGTAACTACAGAATTGTTTATATGGAAAAATATTAGATAAGTATTTCACAATTTTTCAGTTGATGCACATATGCATCAAACAACTTTTTGTTGTTTGAGCTGGAAATGTGGAGGAGGTAGTAAAGTCTTCTGGCAAGACAGCTCTCTGTAAATCATCAGCTAGAGCTCTTAGTGCTACTGGGGTACACAGAACTAAATTTTAAGAATCTGTTCTTTATCATTTACTAAGATTTTGATCAAAGATATCCAGAAATAATCACAGGATATTAAAAGAAATATAACATATGAGGCAGAGCGCATAATACAAAGTTAGTGGGCACAGATTTGTAAAAAGTATAAAGACTTCCTTGTCATTCATAATGCTAACATCAAATTTCTGAAGCTTTTCAGGCTAAAAATCTTTATATGTAATTTACATTAACTTTTTTTTTGTACACTAACAGTATTTCATTAAGCCTTTCAGAAAACATTACCAAAATTAATTCACAGTCTCCATGAACAAAAAATATTGTTCACATTTATAGCTGAAAAAAATTTGAATGCAAAGAGAAGTGATTTAACCAAGGTTTCAGAACAAATTAGTGTCAGAGTAGGAAAAAAAATAGGAATTTAACTTATAGATTTCCCCACTATAACCAAAACCTGCATGACGTTGAAAAAGTAAAAACCACTATAGTAGCATTAATAGTTCTAATTTCGGTGTTTCTATGGTTATAATTTGACAGAATATAAAATTTAAATCTAAAATGAAGGACTTTGCAGAGCATTAGAAACATTCTAGTAAACAAGACAATTTGTTGTCAAACATCTTTAACTTTTGTGATAAATTGAGAAAATGCATGCTATAGCACATGTATCTTTATCTTATCACACTATAAGCATCCTATATTCTGTGAAAGAATTCATAGATGCACCCTCCCTCGACGAAAAGGTCAATATTTTTAAGTGGAAGAAACAGGATTCCTCTTTAAAATTACACTTATATGCATATATATTCACACTACATTAAAAAAAATCTTTAGTGATGACCACTGTGTATTAATATTTCTAGGTAAACTAAGAAATAACTTACGATATCTAAAAAATATAGTCTCTTGTAATAAAGATTTATACTGAGATTTCTACTTTCTCTATCAGAAAACCAGGATTATTTTGGCTTATCAAAATCTGGCAAAAATGTTCAATATTTGCAACTTGTTGAACATGTTATACTATCTTCACAATACCAAAAGGAGCTTTCTGCCTAGAGAATCTAAGGGTTGTGTTAGGAGGAGCATTGCCAGCAGGTCAAAGGATGAGATGGAATGGGAGTCACTTAGGTTGGAGAAGACCTTCAAAATCAGCAAATTCAACCATCACCTGACCTATTCAGTCCCATCACTAAACAATGTCCTTTAGTGCCATGTTCACACACCTCTTAAATAAAGGCGTTGATCCTTCCCCTATACTGAGGGCTGTTAAGACACATCTGCAGTGCTGGGTCCAGTTTTGGGCTTCCCAGAACAAAAGAGACATGGACATACTGAAGAGAGTCCAACGAAGAGCAACTAACCTTGTTTAAAGGACTGAGCCGAGAGAACTGGGATTGTTCAGGCTGGAGAAGAGAAGGATCAGAAGGAATCCCATCAATGTGTATAAATACCTGATGGGAGTATGTAAAGAAGACAAAATCAGGCTCTCTTCAGTGGTGTTCAGTGATAGGACAAGAGGCAATGGGCATAAACTGAAACACTGGGGGTTTCATCTGGACATCAAGAAATGCTTTCTCACTGCAGACACTACACTGCTGCTGCAGTACACTGCTGCTGCAGACAGCAGCAAGGAAGAAGAGGAAGGTGAGTGCCAGGAGAAAAAAAAAAAAAAAAAAAAAAAAAAAAACACCTGGCTATGAGTGCTATCAGGCAGCAAAAGTTACTTGGTGGAAGTGAGTAGGAGAAGGAATTGGGGAACTTTGGGAACATTCTCTACCCCCAGCAAAAGGAAGTGACACACTGGCTCACTGATGAAAGGAAAGGAAAGGGAGAGGCAGGCAGGATGGAGGATCTCAGAATGCTGCTCCTCTCCCAGGCGTTTGTATAAGATCAAAGTGCTGCTGTGTTCTAGGAGGACCAGAAGGCCTTTGATGTAATGGTAGTCTTGGCAAGACACAACAGAAGCAAACCGAGAACAGAAGAAAGTATTAACTCTTAGATTTAAAATGTCTTAAACATCCATGCATGCAAAGTGTGACAACCATGAAATAGTTCCAAGAGCAAATTGTACAGTGTGCTTATTGATGGAAGGCACATTGAGAGAGAGAGAGAAAAGAAAAAAGAAAGAGAGCCCTAGTGTGAAGAGAGTCAGGCAGTCCATAATCTCTTTGGAAATGCATTGGGGACAGCCAGCCTTCCTGCTCTTCCTTTAAAATGGGTGATAAATCAGAAAACTGATGCAACGATGAGCCTGCTACTACAGTAGAAGAATCTGGTAGCTTTCACATTGCTGAGTGTGTCCAAACAAAGTTGCTTTACTGGTATTCAAAACCTTATTTTCATGAATATAAAACATAAGTTAAACCAAAACACACAACTGTTCATACTGAAAAGGAAATTTATATTAAAAAAACAATATTGAAGAATACTTAGAACATTACTGGAGTTACCCTAAATTTATGACTTTGTAATAAAAAGCTGAATAATGTCCATAAAAGTCTGATCCAAATAGTTTATGCAAGTGGTATCCTCAGTTTTGGGTTCTCTACCAAAAATGCAAGCTGTCTTACTGATCAAATACATAATGCATATGTTCACTGGAATAACTGCTTGGTTTCAAATTCAATTTCCCAGTGTTTTTAGTACTACTACGCAGAAGAATCGGACTTGCAGTTTATTCTCACATATTCCCACAAGACTCTGATGTAGAAACCCACTGAAGTCAAAAGCACCACACGGTAGCAGTGTGTTAATTATGAGGAGTAGATACATTTCCCATTGCAGCTACACCTGAGAACACAATACAGACTTTTTTTCCAGTAAAATCATACAGCTTTATATGTAAATAAAATAGGACTAAATTCTATATGTAAGAATGAAGCTACACCCAAGAAGATACACTTTACTAAATTACACTTTACCTGTAGAGAAATCATACTAATTCTTGCAAAATATCAGACTACATAACTGATTACTACAGTAATCAGGAAAATTACTCATTAATAGCTATGTAATATTTAAATGCAATGAATGGAACAGTACTTTAAAAATCTGAACAAGTGAGTTGTTCAGATTTTTAAATCACAAGTGATTTGCCTGGCATAATAAAGGAACTTTACAGCAAAAGTAAAATCAGTGCCTTGGGAGCATTCAACAGCCTTAGGGACAACCATATGTTTCTTGCCTGAAGTCTCAGTGTTTAACATTGCACATCATCCTATGTCAGCAATAATGAAAGAATTGATTGACTTCAAGTTCTAGGATCTAGTATTAAAAACCTGCTCTCAGATGTTACCTCTCAGTTTGCAATATGAAAATGATATTTTACTGATAATAATCCTCTACCTCTTCTATCTGAACAATAACTTGAAACAAACAAACAAAAATATCAGGAAGATTTAGTACTAAATAGAGGAGATTAAAAGTATAAAAAAAGAAGAAAGACTTCAGAAAAAAATAGAAACAAACATCATCACTGAACACACATTGGATTTGCATGAAATTTTGTTATTTGCAAGCAATTACCCTCTGCCTGTGCCAAAACTGGGCTTTAGGAGCAGAAAGCGCATGGCATTTGCAGGCAGCTTGACTCATGGTTCGTGAGAAATGGATGGCAGTGGATACATGCCTGACTAGTTGTCATGTAAGCAAACCATGATTAAGAGATGCTTCTGAACAGAACTAATGTCCTGGCAACAATTTACATTCACACAGCACTATGCAAAGTGCCAGGCCTCTGACTTTGAGCATTAATTCCCTATTCCAACAAGGCAGGAGTTCCAACACTGCACTCTGATTTACAAAGGGCCTCTTATGTGTGAATGCAAGTTGTTTGTTTGTTGTTGTTTGTTTGTTTGTTTGTTTTTACCATATTCAATACATTTCAAATACATTTTTGAAATCCAAAGCAGTTTTCAAAGACAACAGTTATCAGGGAGGATGAAATAATTAGCACAAGCAAATTTTAGAAGTCTCTTTGCAGACTTACATTGTCTCAGTACTGGTATCTTTACGTGAAATTTTCTGAGTTTCCAATAAAAAGAAACTATAGTTCTTATATATACTATTATATGATGTCTTATTGGAGCTGTCTATAAAAGAAAAAAAAAAGCAGACCCATCCCATCTAGTCCACCTGGTAGACTTCCTAGCTTGAGTCATGCGGATAATCGATCCAGCTGCATTCATGGCACGTACATACATTAAGGCTTTTGTCCTTCAAATTCATTATCTTAAAATGATATTCCTCCATGCTTTTGGTTCCAGTGGTAATGTGGGCACTGACTCTGTCTGCACATCCAGTGAAATGTACACACAAGTCACTGGAGTGATTATATCTATCACATATACCTCAACTATTTGGCAAATAGTTTAATTTCTCAACTATGTTGAAGAAAAACATCCTCAGTATGGCTCAAATCTACCACATTTCTCTTCCTAGGGATGTGGACTGAACTATACAGAAAAACACAACCTTACATTTCATTTGATATAGCTATTGCTCATAAAGCAGTGAAAACACTGTAGCGAAGCCTCCATTGGAAGGTGCAATATAAAATTACTATGCGTCTTCATTTTCTTAAAATTACAGTTAAAAACGCAGATGGCACCTTTTTTTTAAAAAAAAAAGAAAAGTACATAAAAATCACATTTTTGATAATCAGTAATCTCATTGTGATTGGTTTGAAAAAGAATTTAAGAAACTTACCATTTCTAAGGACATAATTCGCTCCTACAAATAAAATACAAGTTGTGGTTAGAAAGTAAAGAATATAAATGCAACATATGGTAAAAAAACATGATTTCTTTTTTAATTTTTTTTTTTGCAGTTTGTATGATGTGGAATGATTTTGTTAAAATGTCACTTAAAAGGAACTGGACCTCTGGACCCACTTATCAAACTAACTCACTTTGAAATTTGTTCTGAAGAAAAGTAATAGAAACATCCTAGAAACTAAGAAAGAAAGAACTTTAAAAAAATACTTACTCCAATGTTTTTTTAAATAGTACTGTTAGACCTTCAATATTGTTGATTTTACTCATGTATCCCAAAGTTTGCCTTCCCTTTTTGATGATCTGTATCTCTAAATCTAGCATACTTTGGAGTTTATGTCATGTTAGCAACTGTTTTAGTTATCTTTTAGGCATTTATTTAGAAAACTAAAATATAAATTCCATAGCATTATTCTGCTGTCCAGAAATAGCTCTGAAGAACAACTAACGTCATCTCGTTATTAATAAAACAATGGCTAACGTCAGACAGAAATAAAATGCAAGTAAAATAAACTTGTGTCAGTTTTAATTCAGCACAAAATACAGGAAACATAGAACTTGTATATATTTTAACATTCAGTTTTCCGTTTTAAAGTATCTTTAAGAAAAATATTGAGCTAGTAAAATCAAGATAATGTACTCTGGCACTATGTCCTGACTGGACATAGTATTTTAAGGAATTTGAGAAAACGTACATTTAAGTGTTTAGCTGAGCCCACCTGACCATTCAGACAAGAATTTTTACTTTGCTCACATATTATCTTTTTGAATGTGTGGGTTTGTTTGTTTGTTTTCTCCTCGTTTCTGGTTAGATTAAGCTAAGAATCCTTACACTTTTTCCTGTTCTCTTCCTCCCTAACAGGTAAAAATGACTGTAATAATCTGGATTTATTCTAGCAACATCCAAAGAAAAAATCCTGAACTGGCTTCACTAATTTGGAAACATTTTCTTAGACCAATGGAAGAAATTGAGAGCCAGAAGCAGCTCCTGTTTGCAAGAATGTGAAAGTAATTTTCTTTTCTTAAGCCTAGCTGAAAATGAGCTACAAAGACTCTTCAAGAGTTATTACTGTCTCAGAAGACTGTAAAAGAATGGTTATGTTCACTAAATGAACGAGCATGTAAAACCAACATTTACATATTGTGTATTTACTTATTTGTATAAAACCAGTATCACTTGGAGTACTGAAAAGCTAACTTTTATTCATGTAATCTTTCGAAGAAAACACACAGTTCACCCTAGTGAAATGTTTAACGTTCATTCATTGAATGATGTCTGGGGTACAAATGATTTTAGTTTTCAGCATCATACAGAAGTCTTGCCTTTGATTACAACAATAAACCATGGGCAGAAAGAGTGAGAAAACATACTGTAGGAAAAACAACTGTAGTACGTGAGGATGAAAAATATAGAGCAGTGTCTGGAAAAGACTGATTAGTTTTGAAAATGTGCTAAAAATAACAAGCAAGACTGTTCAGGAAAATATGTATGAGGAAATATATAAAGGGAAAATAGCAATGCACACACAAACAAGTTTGATGGAAATCTAGTACACTATTAAAATACAACTGTTTAAAAAAAATGCTGACATTTTGCCAGTAAAATGTGGATCTTATAGATTTAGACTTATAAAGTCTTAAAGACTTATAGCGGATCACTATACCGGCTGGTACTGGAACTACATGGACACTGACATTAGTGTGTCACTAATTCCAAAGTAGATGAAAATGGTTTGCAGTTGTTTTCACAGAGAACATACACGCAGTTGAATATTCCTATTATCATGCACAGTATGCTATTTTCAATAAAGCCATCTTTTGTACCATAGAACAGTTTTCACAAAAAGGCAGGTGAAAACATTCAGAGGCTTTATCTTCCAATGAGGTAAGAAAAGAAGTGAGGTTATATTCTTGGAGTGGGCATGGAAAAGTACATAGAAAATGTTCCCGACTCCTCACAAGCTAAATATTATAAGATTATTCATGAGTGCACATATAACAACAGAGTAAACATATGTGTAATGAGAACATAGATACTGTCTAGAATATATCTAAGAGTTTGTGTTACAACAATACAAACTCTCATAAATTTGTGTATAACAGAAATTCTAGGGGGGGAAAAAAAAAAAAAAAAACATGAAAGAAATTGAAGATGCAAAACCAAGAGTACAGTGATGTCACCCAAAGCATCAGTCTCCTAGCTCCTAAAAAGCCCTGTATCAAAGACCAGCACATATTACATATAGGTTCCATCTCTACCACATAGTATAAGATAACAGTCAGGTCATGCAGTCCAACATATTACCTAAGCAGAGGAAGACATTAAAACTATATGCCCAATATTTCCCTGAAAAATCTTCATAAAATTGCTCTTTTCTCTCTGTTAACTGTTGGCATTGCAGAAGCAATGATTTTACTCACCTATATCTGAAAGAGGAATACCAGTTATTTTCTGAATCTTTGTTTGGGTAACTGTAAACACATCACATCCAAAAAGGGCAATTTCCATTGAGGGCAAAATAAAATCTATTTAGTTAGAACCTATTAGGCCTCATTTGAATTATTTTAACAAAAGGTAATGTTTGCCTCCCTTCAAAAAATGAGCAAATGAAAAATACATTAAAACACACATCCCTAGCTCTTGCTACTTGATGAGAAAGAACCTCAAAGTATCTCCACAGTCACCATTTCTCCACACCAAACATGGATTTCTGATAGATTTCCTTTCTTGTCTGGCTTTTCTAAAACTATAGTTGGCATTCATGGCTCAAGTGTCAAGAAATAACTCCCTCAACCATGATAACCTGGCTGCTTTCAATCATCTGCCCACAGTCTAAAACACAGGCTTTCTGCCCACCTATTTCCTGAATGTGCTTTATACATACATTCTATTTAGATGCAAAGAAAATGCATTAAAGATCGACTTAATACACACAATTCTCTGTACGTATACGATGCTTATTAAAACAGGACCCCGGGAACTGTAGACAAAAAGTTTACAACAATTAACATCACCTGTTGTCTATTGAACCAAGGACTTACTGAGCAGGCCCTAACACCCAAGAAATCATATTCAAGGCCTTAGGGATAAAGAGTACTATTTTATAGGCTAGTGGTCATTAATGAGAAATAATTAAGTTATAGCAATCTACTTCAATGAAAGCATTCATACATCAGCCAGCCATATATATACTTTGCTGAACTGGGGCTCAGAAGAAACAAATGCTCCATGTCACCTGGTTAAAAAGGGTGCGAGTTTTGGCTCTATGAAATGTCACAGTTAAAGAAACTCTCACCTTCCTCTTACTTCCTATGCTTTATATATTGAGATGCAACAGCACGGGGATGTTCAGTTGCAACTACATGAGCTGTTTTTAACACCTATTTTCTAGCAAAGTTTTATATATTCAGCCACTGAAAGATTAGAATAAAACATTACAATAACAGAGCAAGAACAGAGCATCCCAAACTGGGACCATTTTGAAACATATGGACCATAGTGGACAAGTATTATCTAGAAAAGTAATTGATGTTCTTGCTGAGTACTTCAACTGTGAAAGTACATGCATTTGAAGACGTAAAAAAAAAATAAATAAAAAACAAGCTATCAAGCACTTGAATACAAATACAGCAGTCAGAGCAGTACAAGTCACACTCTTACACAGAACGGTCAGTTAGGGAACGGCATAGAGCAATCCAATCAGGAACTGGACAGACCTTCAGAAATACGCACCAGTACATACACACACATATATATATATGTGCACACAAAACACTAATTTGACACAACTTTTCTCCTGTATAATATTATTCCTCATTCAGTCAGAAGGAACATCATTAGAACAATTTGTCAACTATGGTGCTTCACAGGAAAGCAGATACTGAATTTCTTCACATGAAAGGAGATCTTTTTACATTGATGTAACTAGATATGCACCTGTGTAAACTGCTTGCGCAGACAAGCTCTCAGCCTTGTTGAACTTGAGCTGCCAGAAAGCTAGGCCAAGATTTTTGTTTGAACAGGAAACAGCTGGATTGGTGTGTTGTGTAATTTTTGAGTCTTGCAACTTGTCTCTTCTTACTGGATCAAACTGTTTCTACACTAACTGTTTGATACTTCTAGCCCTCAAAATGCATTATATTTACTATATGAGCAGAGTCAACATACCTTCAAACAAACTTCTTACGGTCAAAAATCAAGGTAAACAAAATTACTTTTTGACCTAACAGCTTTAGTGTCATCAATTGCCTCATAAATGTTCTGCTTCCACTACAGTTACAGAATCCTGTTCCACTGATATATTATTCTTGCTGTATCTATGCTTTTTTATATGCATGTTGGGCATTACTTGCTGTGATTTTTTGTTTAAAATTTCTTTTTTTCACTCTGTATTCTAAAGAATACAGGCACTACCATCATAACTTCCCAAACTTCAATATTTAGACATTCCAGCTTGGTTTTGTGTTCCTAGCCATTTTCATTTCAAAGGAGCACATGTTTTCTTTGACTGTAATGCTTAAATAATATTCCAGAGCTGAGTCTAAGGTAACGCTCACATTCTAAGCACAACTGTAAAGGGCTTAACACAAGCAGATTTACTGCTGGATACCATACAATGAGGATTTACTTACGTCGTATCAAGTCCTAGCATATATCAGCTGGTCCTTTCTTCCTCAGGATGGTGATGATGGTGATGACATTTAACATTTCAGAAATTTGAAGCACTTACTTCAAATCTTTTTCATTTTTTTCCCAAGATACAGAAGAACGCAACATACGCCAGAAAATCTATCACAACCAATGAAGTAGAATTTAAAGCATCTCTGCAGTTCTGAACGCAGATTTACACTGCCTCTATTCCCATACAGTGAAGCCAGCAGTAAGACATAAGACAAAAACTTCAGTATATACTGTGACTTGAAAGAAGCATTGTTTTCACTAAAGGGCTAGATTTATTGACTCATTGGAGAATGCTAACTACTTTAATCTTCTCTAATGTGCAACTTAATCAATGGGCAGAAACTCAACATTGAGTCTTATTAGCTATCAAGTCTGCATTTGGCTGCATATATTTCCAAAGCTGAATTCAAGACACAAGTGAGTTCAGAAATTTGTAATGCTGTAATACAATTTAATAATTTCAGGGGTAACAAAAAGTGTAGCTAGTTAATAATACAGAAAGTATACCTGGAGAGCTCCCATTTCTTCCTCTCTTCTGAGTGTCTTCTCTAATAGCTCTGTAAAATGAAAAATGGAACAAGTAAATTCACCTTCTTGCCTTGTAGCCTCACAGGAAAAATACTGTGCCAAATAGTCTGAGTTTTTTTTTTATTTTACAGCTTGCACAACTTTCTTTTTGACATAATTAAATTAATTGATTAAATGTGTAAGTGATACAATTGTTTCCAAGCATAGACTCTTGAGGACATTAAGTCAAAAGACAACAGATTTGATTCAGTTATTACAGGACAAACTTCCTTATGCTTAAATCAATACTTAAGTGTGGTTTTAGATTTGAATGAAAGAAAGAAGCAAAGAGATTCACTCTGAAAATTGACTAAAACAGCAATACATCCTAAAAGCAATGCAATTATTTATCAACATTTACTCTAGACTGCTTAAAGTTAAAACCCAACGGAGAGCAGAAAAAAAAAACATCAACCTGCTGCAGGCTTATTACTACTTTAACTATCAGAAAGTTTCTTAAGATCTTTGCATGAAACAAGCACTGCTGTAAACTAAGCCAGTGACTGAATCAAGATGTGCTGCAGTTTCCCAGCAATTAGGACAGTTATGACATTACAAAATTGCCTGAACAAGCCTCAGAGGACTGAATTCTGACTGTTAATTCCTTCAGCACAATACAGCTAACTGAAAGTATTTGTGTACACCTAAGAAATAATGACTGAAAATTAATACATATACTTATCAAAGACAAACTCAAATGATGTACAATAAATGCTGCTTTGAATATTCTACCAACAAGAATTTGCCTTCTTCAAATTTTCTCCTTTTTATCCCTTCTTCTATTTTACTTAGCTTATCTTTACTTTTCATTCTCCTTTCTCATTATGACGCCTCCTCTTGAGCTCCCCTAACCTGTTACTTTTATTCCCATACCTCATTCTCCATTTCTGACTACACACAGGTTACCTGGGACTTGGTTTTGGACATTAGTCCTTTAAAAGGAATAAAGATAACATACACAAATTTTTAATTATTTCATTCACAAGCATAGATATTGACTTGCTGTTCTTCCTTCCTAGTTTCTATGCAGTTTTTTTCAATTCCTTTCTTTAATAAAATAACTGTTTCTTCACTTTCTTTTGGCATGTTCATATGTTTCTGTATTATCCTTTTGTATGCTTTTCAGTACAATGATTCAACTGCCATGTAAATTACTGTAGCCAAATGTGCTGCCATCACCATTAGTTACTAAGAGATTTGGGTTAGGAAAGTGGCCTCCTTGAATGTTTTCCTTGGGTATACTCCAGTATTGTAATTGACTTGGTACAAATTAGTATTGTAGTACTAACTTTAATAAAAAAAAGTGAGGAGGGAGGACTAAATCTATGAGAAAGGGATGGGAAATGGAAGATTCTTCCCTGCATTCCATCTGACCAAAAAAAAAAAAAAAAAAAAGATTTCTATACTCAATATTGGCTTATTTTAATTATAATGCAACACTTGACATTCCATTGTACTGACATTACTGTTCTACGTGAAAAGGATGTTATTAAAAGGTTCTTTTCAAAGAAGTTTTATAAATGTAATGCAAACTGAACTAATTTCTACTCTAAATTTGAAAGTTCTGCATCTGAAAGTAGCGATCTCCAGAATTAATTTTCTTTACTATACCACTGCCGAAATTGGCTGCCCTGCAGGAGGCTTCACAAAACTTTACCCCAGAAGAGTATGTAATTATTGAAGTGATGTTATTTAAATGATAACATATTCATACTATACAGACTTGCCCTCTATGACCATGTATTTAAGAACCAAGTTCTGTACCAAAACTGATGATTCTGCTTAACATTTCATCTAAGAAAGCAAAGCTGAAGCAAAAGAAAAAGAAAAAAGGAGCAATACATATTATACAGCTTTACAAAAAAGTCCACTAAAAATGCAGCACATTGAATCATTCTTTTAAATATGGCTATTCATCATGACAGAATATATTTGCCTACTTGATCTAAAAAAATCATTATTTGATAAAACATTATCAAATAATGATATGTTTTGATAATGTTTTTCATCTGCTGTATTTAAATGTGCAAACATATTTAAAATATTCATTGCCAAACAAATAACATTACAATGACATATAGAGAATGCATCATGTCTATAATATAACAAAGATGGTCACTGGCCCTAGTGAAGGCTCCTTCCATTCATCCAGCGAACAGTCTCTTGAGTTCCTCTAACTATACCTTTCTTCTTAAAGGAAGTTGCAGTGTGCCATGAGTTTCTGCATCTATCAACAATCCCACTATGACCATCTTTTAAGGTCTAACGTAACCACAGGGTTCTTGTTTTTTTTTGTAAGCAATATATCTTCATTTTCATGGAGCACAGAACACATCAATCTATAGATTGTCTAGAAGAATCAGCAATAATGAAAAAGCATTACAAAGGCAGCGTCAGGCACCGATGGTTCTTTTCAAAATATGACTCATATACATGGAAAAAGACAAGAGAAATTACTTTTACAAATAAAGGTATTAATCAACATATTTCCCTTTTTTATTTTTAGCTCACTGAGAAACACATAATCCTATAATGAGCAATAAGCTAAAACCAGTCAAAAATCAAATATGTTTCAGTTGTTTTAGTAACACTTAAAATCAAGAGCTAATTCAGGATATTGTATGAAAAATTAGGGATCATACTTCTGTGTAGTTTTACAAAAAGTATTAAAAATGGTTAAAAAACAAACCATCTAAGGTTTATATCACATTTAGCTTATGAACACCAGTAAGCACAGCTGAATTCCTTGATGTTATACCACAGCATTTAAGATTTATCTGATCAAAATTCCAGGAAATACACAGGTTACAATTTAAAACATTTCATCATAACTTTAAATACACGATGAAAAAAACTAATTGTAAAATGTTAAAAAGTAGCTCAGCTCCTTTACCTCTATGCTGAGAGCAAGAAGCTGGGAAACAAGACATTGACTCTGTACAACCTGGAGCAACTTCCTAAAAATCTGAATCAAAAATCAGGGATTTATTTCAGAAAGGAGACTGAACTGCCTTCATTCATTATTAAGTAGTAGGGACTGGTTTTAAACACTGCATGACCTCACATTTTAAGAAACCAAAGACAGTGATTAACTGCATTCTGCTTCATATTCTCTGTGAAGATTAAAGTGTCAGAGAAAAGTTAAAAAACAGATAAACACCACAACAGATTATAATTTGGTATCCGTAAATTCCTAACTTGTCCTAGCAAAAGCAAATGCCCAAATACAGATGTGTACACAGAATTAGTTCTTACAGTCACAGGTATCTAGTTGTAGAGTCCAAGGACTCTAAAACATATACAAAAACAAAACAAAACAAAACAAAACAAAAAAAAACAGAAAAACAGAAAAGTTGACATTTGCACTTCAATTCAGTACCCCATACATAGCTAAGATACCGTAAACTATGCAAGTTTGCAAGTTATTTGCATGCTGAAAGCGCATTAGACACAGGACTCTTACCCCTCTTAAATAGCTACAGATTACACAGGAAACTGTACGTCAAATCATACAACACTAAATATCTGTCTGTGGGCCACTGGGGTTGGCAGAATAGCTGCCTAAGCTCCGCTGACTGTAGATCTCGACTGACTGTAACAGGAATTCAGCCAACTAGTTTAACGTAGCCACCAACACATAGATGCCAATTTCAAAATGAGTCCCACCACTAACTTCCCTTAGTCAAATTTATCTCTAATGCAATACCAATAGGAATTATTATATTGGGAATATACTAATACTCTTGATTGGTTTTCTGTTCTTCCACCTGTAAAATGGAAAAAATGTAGTTAGCTACCTTACACCTAGTAATGAAACTACAATTATATTTGCAAGTTATTTATTTTTCAAAGAAAACGTTAAGTATTATTAGCTAACTGCAGATTTAAAAGAACATAACTGCATATTTAAATTGGGGTCAGTCAATGAGCAAGGCTGCTATGCAGGCGCTGCATAACCATGGCACTCAAAGGAAGTGCAATCTCAATACTTCTACTATGTGGTGTTAAAACAAGAAATCCAGGCTATTACCAGAGAATAACAGCAGTTTGGAGAAAAGCATCAACATATTTATCTCATCATGCTAAAACCCATTCTTTTCCAAGACACAAGTCAGGAATTTCAGTTATACATTAGTAAAATTATTTTGGTTTCCCCAGGTTTGCAATCTTGGAAATTTGTTTTTTATGTTGTATGCTGATGATTTTATCCTTAAATTTACTTTGATCGAAATTTGTTGTAGATTTATTTCAAGTCTTCCATATCATTCTGACCTCAAATATACATGCTATGGCCTTCAATCATCATATGGATATATTGCCCAGAAAGCCGCTGAACAGATACTGCAGCATTTTTGTAGATGCACAAGGCAGCCAAGCAGGTTTCCATAAAGTGTGAGGGAATTTTCAAGCAGCTGAACAAACCAGTTTCTCCCAGCTATAAATTACTTATCTCGTATATGCCTGCAGAGCAAAGTTGAATCATGTATTATGCTACTAACGAATTAAGGCCCTATTTTGGGGGGATGAATTAAGCTGTTTCTAAATGAATCATTTTAAGCTAAATGTTTCACAATGCATACGCTCATGGCTATCCCAACCAGATAGGTACAGTGTTTTGCACTGTACCTATGTTGGCATGGTTTTGGTGAATGGCTTCACCGTATCCTGACACAGGTCCAGAAACACTGGATACTAGAAGATGATTCAGTGAGTCTGGACCTTTGTACAGTTATGCTGGACACTACAAATAACCCAAGCATTATATACAACTGAGACAAAAAAACAGTATTGGGACGTGCTTTGAACAACTAATTGAAATTGTGCTTGCCATGCATCCAAATCATTAAGAGAATTTCTATATATTTTATCTTAGAAGAGCTCTAGAGAAATAGGTATTTCTTAGAAACTTAATTTTCACTAGTGTAGAAAAAGACTGATAAATTATCAATAGAAGCACATTTATAATGACCCCAAGCAAGATATTTTTCAA